AAATATTGTTATTAATATTAATTGTGAAATTAAAACCTGATTTTCGATTAAATAAAGTAAAAACCTGATTTTTTAAAAGTCAAAACTAAACAGTTGGTTTAGTGTAATTTCCTCAAATACCAAACCTAGTAAAGAGGCCACCTTCTACCGCGACAGTCACCACCTTCTATCATCATATTCAAATCCAAAGCTCAATAATCTTGAACGACAACAGATTCTGGTTTGGAACGCCAGGAAGTGTTGGAAATTCTCTGATTTCTATTTTGGTATTGGCTAACAATAATCTTGGGGGTTGCATTCCAGTCAGCATTGGAAAAATGGGTAAAACTTTGAATGAATTGATTTTGATGAATAATAATCTAACCGGTTGCTTGCCTCCAGGGATTGGAATTCTAAAGAAATTGACAGTATCTGATGTTAGTGTCAATAATCTCCAAGGGCCATTACCTTCGGGTATTAGTCGTACGAGGAGCTTGGAACAACTAGACGTGGGACGCAACCGCCTCACTGGAGAGGTGCCCGCCACTGTGTGTCGCCTTCCCCAGCTGTTCAACTTTGCTTACTTGTTCAATTACTTCACCAAGGAAGTGCGCTAAATTTGGTGGAACGATAGTGTCTGATGGGCGAGAGAACTGTATTCCGAGGAAGAGTGATCATCTAACGCTGCTAAGCTGTTTGATTGTAGCAAGTCCAAGTGTGGCGGTGTCGGCAGCAACTTTGGTATAAAGCCTAAGCCAAGGAAGAGGCCACCAGTTCAGACAAAGCCGTTATCTTCAAAGCCATGTACTGGGCCAAATGGGGGTGGGATGGGGGTATGGGTTGGGTTAGGGAAGAAGAATAATTATCCCTAATTCATGAGGGCTTGTTTGTACCTTTTTAAAACATTTGGGATTATAGTTACAATTACTTTTTTTATTTTTTTTAAATGGGATAATATATTCATCATTTCATCATTTTTTATTAAGAAAATAAACAGTAAGAGGTATTTAGCATTAAAAGTTTCAAATAGAAACGTTTTATGCTATTTTCAAAAGGTATGAAAGTTTTCCGCAATATGTTCAATAGGTAGGGAATTTTATAAGGGAAGATTACATAAATAAGAGGATCAGTTTCACGAATTTCAAATTTAAGAGATCAATGTTTAA